CCCTCTGCTCTCAGTGGCAGCAGGGGGAGGCCAGCTCATGCCAGCAGCAGGGCCTTGGGCACAGCTGTAGTCCTGGCCTGCAAGGCTCTTTCTGCCCCAGGGGATTTGACACCTTTCCCCTGGGGTTCAGCCACCATCTTAGGACTCCCTCTATGCAAGCTTGAGTCCTGAGCTCTCCTGTCCCTGGGGCCTGCCCAGGCTCTGTAGGCTCTGGTGCAAGGAAACCCACATGTGCCTATGGCTCAGGGAGACTACAGCATGTGGGGTAAAGATCTGAGAAGTGCTGTGGGACTGAGTAAGAAAAATGGTCCCTGTGAAGACAGTTTCTTCTGGGCTAGAGCCTTTGCCAGAGAGAAACTCCTGCTGTGGAGCAGCACCCCTGCACCTGCTTGGTGAGAGCAGCCCTGCTAGGTTCAGGGCTGAGCTGGGTGCTTCCTGCCCAGCCCACGTGTGCTTTGGGTGCCGAGCCAGGGGCATGTTACACCCCTAAGTGCTCACCACACACCAGGGTGCACAGTGTGTGGACAGGCAGCCCTGCTCCTGCAGCAGTGGAGATTCCTGCCTGCAGGTGCCATGGTCCCTATTGACCCACAGCAATGCTGGCTAGCAGCTAGTGCCCTGCAGAGTGGGTTGTCCTGGGCCTAGATCTTCTCCCTGAGCATCAAGCTCTGTCCCGTCTCCTGTTGCTCTGGCCAGCAGCCTCTTTGCTCCTGGCTGTGGCAGGACCAGCCAGCCAGCTTTGGGGTTCAAAGGCTGGGCATGGAGAGGAGACAGCTGGCTGGGCTGAGCTGCTGTGGGGCAGGCCTGACCTTGCAGGCAGAAGGCTTGGATGTGGCTAGCTGATTCCTTTGCTAGTCATGGCTGAGGTGTTTAGTGCCCATGCTGCCTGGCATGCCTATGGGGTTTTTGTCAGTTGGGGTTTTTTTTGTCTCCCTTTTGCATGCTGGGGGGGTGGAGTGGGGTGTCATGTTCTCCAGAGTGCCATGAAGATGGGCTGTGTTGTCCCTGCTGCCTTTGGTACCATGGAAGGGGCAAGGAGATGGGATTATGCTCCTTGCTGGGGTGGGGACATCACTTCTACTTGTGGCCCAAATCTGTTGCAGCAAATGGGCTTTCAGCTTTCCCTCCAGAAACCTGCTGGGCTTCATCACCGCATTTGCACATTGTGTTTCCAAAGGCTGGGCTGGTGCGGGGGTGCAGCCTGGGGCCTGACCCTGGCACCCAGTGGGAGAGCATAGGCCAGAGAACGGCAGTAGGCATGGGGCTAACAGCTCTCATCTCTCCTTACCCTGTAGAGCAAGCACAGAGACAGTGCTCCCTACGCTGAGTATGGTGGCTGGTACAAGGCCTGTAAGGTTAGCAGGTAAGGGGTGGTTTGTGGGCAGCTGTGGGCTCTGGAGAGGGTGGCCCCAGGGCTCCTGCTCACCTTCCATCTATTACTACAGCCCAACTGTGAACACCACTCTGAGGAACCTGGGTGCGCTGTACCGACGCCAGGGCAAGCTAGAGGCAGCTGAGACCTTGGAGGAGTGTGCTGTTCGCTCTCGGCGGCAGGTAACCCCAGAGGGACCTTCTCTGGTGGAGGAGGCATTGTGGGGCTTGGGGTGGCAGGTCATGGCACAGTATTTGGCTTGGGGTGTGGTGAGGGACTCTTCTGGGCCTTGGAGCCTCTGATAGCCTTGGTTTTACATTCCCATAATACCAGAGCACCTTGGTGGTTGGGGTTGCATTCATTCAGGGGTACGCACGTGTGTACATGTGTGGGGTTGTGCATATGCATGCATGCATGGGTGGAGCAGATGTCAGTGTGTGTACATGTGGGGAAGAAGGCGTGGCTTTTTGAGTGCAGAAATATTGCAGCTGGGTTAGGGCAGGTTACTGGGCTTTGTCAGCTACTGAGGAGATCTGCACTCACTGGGATGTTTTCTTCCCACGAATTTTTTGTCCAGGGAACACGCTAGGGATTTCTTAGAGTACCTCTCACCCTAAGTTCCTCTCAATCCTTTAATCCTGTTTTATCAGCAGGAGCTGTAAGCACCTAGCACAAAGACTGAAGGACAGCAGAAACCTTCGCGCACCAAAATGTGAAGAAAAAAAGCTGTCAGCTTTAGGGTAGCAAGCCCTTGTCCCCAAGGGTGGTTTGTGGCTTGGTGGGGGGCTCACTGAGCTGGGAACCCAAACAGGAACTGCTAAGTGCAGGATGGCATTTGACTCCATCCTCCTTGTGCTGGAGAGTTTTGGCTGTGATGGGGCAATGGCCCAGAGAGGGGATGGGACCAAGCACAGTGATGGCACAGCAGATCACTGGAGGGAAAGAACATAGAAGGGCAAAACATGGTGCTTCCTTATCCCTTTCTACTTGTAGGGCATTGACCCAATCAACCAGACAAAGGTGGTGGAGATCCTGAAGGAAGGCGATGGCACAGAGAGACGGCGGAGCCTGGGGGGCAGCGTCAAGTATGAGAATGCCACAGACGGTAGCGAGGAAGTGAGTATGGGCATGGAATGGAGTGGGGTAAGTACAAGACACCATCAAGAATGGCCTCAGCCGGCTGCCAGAGGGAAGGGACAGCCTGGCTCAGGGCTGTCCCCGCGTGGCCTGTCGTGGCATCCTTGTCTGCCTCCATTCGTTCCCTGCACACTTCCTTCCCCTCTTTCTTGGCATGAGCCAGCCAGCCCACAAAGGTGCGTGTCTGGGCCTGGCTTCTGGTGTACAGGCCAGATATCCTGAGGGCTCCTGCTTCCAGGGGGCTGCCAGGCCCTGGCAATGCACAGCATGAGCTGGTCCTGGTCTGCCCTTAATCTTAGCCTTGCAACCTTATTAACGTCTCTCCCTGCTCGCTCCCCTCTTGAGCTCCCTGACTGAGAGCATCAGCCCCATCTCAGGCCTACACAGCCTCTGTGAGCAACTTGGTTGCCTGTCCTGCACTGTCCTGCACTGTGCTACAGGCGATGCTGAGCCTGGGGAGGGTTGTGTGTGTGTATATGCCTGGTGTGTCTGTGACTGAGTGACTGCAGGGCACGGGAATAATCTGCAGCCAGCATCTTTGCTGTCCCCCTCTCCTGATCTCATGCCCTCCGTGGGCTCTGGCCAAGCAGAGGTGGTAAAAGGCAGCTCTTTGAGGGGTGCCAGGCTGGGCTGACCGGTGGTGGCAAATGGGCTGGTGTTAGCTGAGGCACAGAGAGGGTGACCTGAGACTGTCTAGGCTTGCTCTGAGACTGAGGGGTGCTTTGGTCACTAGTGCTGAGTTTGGAGGAAGGTAGCGGTCCGGGTCTGGGACAGGTGCCTTTTGTCTTCCGCAAGGAGGAGGATGGAGAAGAGGCGGCAAGTGAGCATGGTGCGGGTGGGTGCTTGGCTTGAGGGCTGCTAGAGCTGTTAACGCTTACCATTCCTCCTGCAAACTCTAGTTGAGAGCGTAGGGTAGCTGGGTACTCGGGGGTTGTTGCGGCCTGCCATAGGCGACACATTGAGCACATGGAGTCCTTTGCTACCCCCTCACATCTGCTGTCACTAACCCTTCGCCACCTGCCTCTGCTCCATCCCCCCCCTGCATGAGCTCCCTCCCTTCCTCCTTCCTCTTCCCTGTTGCCATGACAGCCCTTGAACACCCAAGCCTGAAGCCTGCTGGCTCTCTTGATTGTGGATTGTACCCAGGAGGTGGCTGAAGGGGACCTGGGGAGCAGAGCTTCGAGGGGACCCAGCAGCTCTGCCAGATGCAGGGTTGTCCTCTGTCCCAGCTCTTGGCATCAGGAGTGAAGAGGGTCCTAGCCCTGGCGAGGCACCAACCCTAGCCTCTTACACTCCCCATTAGTAGAGGTGCTAGACAAGCACAGAAGGAGGGCTGCAGGTTTGGGTTAGGATCACCTGGTCCCTGTCCTGGATGGTGTCTCTCTGTGGTTCCTCCTGGCTGCAGCTGATGTTGGGTGATTGCTTTGCACTGGTGATGGTTTGGGAGACCTTCCTAACAGTCTCTGAGCTGATCATCCCAAGGCAAGCAGGCCATGCCACCCTCTCCCCTAGCCTGATCCACCCAAGGGGGATAGTCACTGCTCATATGATCCTTCCCTAGGGGGCTTGGCAGGGCTTCCCTGGCTCAGCCAGCTGTAGAGGGTTTGAGAGCTAGCCCAGCACACTGGAGGACACGGCGGCTGCCCCATGATGCTTGGTGCCTTTTCTAGGCACACATAGCCAGCCTCCTCTCCCCAGCCAGTAGCCCTGTGCTGGGCTGCAGCTCCCCCCAAAAGAAGGCTGAGGCAGCTCCTGCTGCTCCTGTCTGTCATGGCCAGTTGTTCCCTGTGCTGGTCTAGAGACTTCGGACATGCTGCCTCAGTGCAGTCTCTGCTGCCTTCCCTTAGCTGTCAGCTGCTGCAGACAGGGCCATGGGAGCCCCCTGCGTGCCAGCAACCTCTGTGCCCTGCTGCCAAGGGTAGCTCTGGAAGCACCCCAGGGCCTGGACCAGCTACTTGCTGGCCAGGTAACTGGGCTGGGAGAGCCAGTGTCTGGGCCGTGAAAGCAGGGATGGCACCAGCTCAGTGGTGCTGAGGCCTTGGCAGGCACCGCATGCCCAAGGCCCAGGAGCAGGGAGCCCTTGGAGCCGGAGGCCTAGGCTGTTCCTCCCTGAGCTAGCTGTTCCTGCCAGCCTGCTAGAGTGCGCTGGCAAATGTGTAAGCCCACTGTTTCAGCCTCACAAGACGCCCTCCCTGCCCAGATGTGGCCCGTTGTCTCTGCATGCAGCCTGGGCTCTGCCCCACCTGCTCCCTGGGTGATCTTCAACCTCACAGCCTTGTAAATTGTGTCTTTCTCCTCTCTGTGCACTAGGCTTAAATGCCTCCCGAGACTCCCTCTTTCCCCTCCACCGCAATCACCTGGATGTTTGTGTTGTATCTTCTGACTTTTCCTCCACACCATCCCTCCTTCCTCGGCAAGAACTCCACGCCAGTCCCCCAACCCTCCCGGCGCGCGAGGGCACCGCGACGCCTGCAGAGGAGTGCCTGGCCACGTGGCCCAGCTCCAGTCCCATGGCCAGCAAGAGCAGGAAGAATCTGCGAGGAGCTGCCTGCTCCCCCAGGCCAGGGTGACAGGCCACCATCCCCTTGCATGCCCCCACCCCCAGCCTGCCCTTGCACATCCTTGGGGACCAGGCCTGCGGGGGATTGTCTTCACTCCAGGCGTGACGACTCCACCGTCATTAGACATCCTCAACCCTACTAGCTTGTTCCATCCATCTCTGCAGGGGCCAGGACAGAGGCAAGAAGATGGGGGATGTCTTTCGGGACAGAGAGGCCTGGCCTTGGCAGGGCTGTCATGTGCCCAGTTGCTTTCTCCCCTGTAGGCTTAGCTGATGATAATGCCCTGTAGCAAACCTGCGCTGGCCACTGGTGGGCTGGGCTCTCCCTATAGCACAGGGCAGTCCCTGTCTTGCTATCCTCTCCCCGCTGAGCTCTGCAACCCAGGGGTAGCATGTGGGTCTCTCTGCAGGGGCACAGGAATGTAGAGCGGCCCATAGCTACTGTACATCCGAGACAAGGTGAGAGGGTGACAGCCAAGGGCCGTGCATGGAACAGGGACCTGCCAGAACAAGCATGTTTGGTTGCAACCTCCTGACCTGATGCTGTAGCTGAGTTCCTCACCTGATGGCATTAAGGGGTGAATCAGCTCCCCACTGCTCCAGGGTGCCCAGGTGTGGCTGCTGCAAGAGGCAGGGGTGAAGCTGTTCGCTGTTCCTTGGAGGTAGAGGAAGGGTAGGAGGAAAGCAGAAATCTTCTGCAAGGGGCCAGGCCCCAGGCCATTAGAAGTGGCCGAGATGGGGAATGGGCTGGTTTGGAGCAGAGTGGTTGGGAGAAAAAGGAGGTGCAAAGAAGGATGCGAGGAGAGGAAGAGCTGGGGTTGGAGTGCTCTGAGCATGTGGGGACAGATGGGATGGCTGGAGGGAGGTTTCCACAGGAGGAGAAGGGCCAGGTTGCTCATGGAGGAGAACAATTCTTGAATGCAGAACCTGGCTTGCCAGGCGTGGTCCCTGGGGCTGTGACTTGCTGTCTGGCTGTCCCTAGCCAAGTGGGTGGGAAATCTGTAACCCTATTACTGCTAGGAAGACAGTGCTGACCCTGGGCATGTGTCGGGGTGGCTCAGTGCCTCTGATGGGACTCCAGGCCTGCACGGGGTCTGGTGCTGTCAGTCACTACGGGGAAAGGGGATGTTTCCCAGGGCCAGACCATCACTGCCTTGAGCCTCACACCCTTGGGTGCACACCCTCATCCCACCTCCTAAGGCAGTGAACCTCCCTGACCCTTCTGCCTGGGAAGAAAGCTGGGGAAGCTGCAGACCACAGGACAGAGCCCAGAGGCCAGCGCAGGACCTCCCCTTATTTATTTAGCTAGATAGTTTCTCTCATGCTAGTCATCTGCAGGTTGTTATACTGAATGTGCTTATGTCTGTCTGGGCCTGGCTTTCCCGTGGTGGTGCAGACGCCTTGGGGCACATGCATGCTGCTCCCCTGGGAGCTTGTGCTTGCTGAAAGGAGGTTTGTCCTCAGGACTATGGGGTGTGGAGCCCAGGGCTGAGTGCTTTAGAGCTGCACCTTCCCTGCCTCTCTCTCCCAGCACTGCTCCATGCTCCTGGAGAGTGGTGAGTCCCCAGTGCAGGGTGCATTCAGGCCTCAGTGCCACCTGCCCCTGTGCTTTGCCATGTCCTGGACCTGGTGCTGTAACAACCGTACCTCTGATTAAAGGTAGACAGACCCGAACCGCTGCCCTGTGCTTCTTTCCATGCTCTGTAGGCCAGCGTCGGTCAGCCCTGGTGTGGCGGGTGCAAATGCTGCTGGAGCAGGTGTGGCGGTGCTTGGTGTCTGTGTGTGTGTAGGGGGATGTGCTGCCCCCAGGGCACCTCTCCTAGGCTGAGCATTGGAGATGAGGGACCCAACTCCACTGTGCCTCTCCCTAACCTCCAAACTGGGGTTGCTACTAACGTCAGCTCTGTAGCCATGTGTGGCAGGGGTGTCTGAGCTTTGGCCTTCCCCAACAGGTGTTGCCATTAGCCAGAGAAATACCCCATTGCATCCCCCAGTGCTGAGCTTCATGTGCTGCCAAATCCTGCCCAAGTCCTCTGCCTCCGTGCAGCAGGCAGGGTGGGAGCACGCAGTGGAGAGCGGCTCAGTGGTGGATCTGCTTCTTTTTCTTTGAGTGCTCTCATCCTGACGGGTGCAATGGGGTGGGGGCTCTGCGGTAAACCAAGCCCCATAAATGTTCTGGGTTAAAAATAACCCTGCAGAAAAGGGAGTGGGGGAGAGAAGGGAGGCTATTTTTAACCCAGCATTCAGCAGCATTTGGTTCTGGTGTTGGTCTGCAGTCAGTCTGCATCACTGCAGCTGGGGAAATGTGGCTCCATCCTCCAGCCCTGACTCTAGAGCATACTTCCTGGCTGGATTCTGCTGCCCTTGTACCATAGTCCCGCTCCGCTGCCCCAGCTGTGTTCCCTTCTCCAGCCCTGGCTTGTGTGCCCTGGCAAAAGGAACAGTGCCTGGCATGGCAGTACCCTGCAGGGAGAGTGGTGACCCAGTGCAAGTCTGGAAGGAAGGCAAAAGACACCCCACCCCCACCCCTGTCTTTGCTAGTGCCACACACTGATGGCCAGCTCCTCCAAAACCTGCCAAGGATGCCTGGTGCAGGAGTTGAATTGTTTGCCTTGCTAATAGTTTTGGTGCTCTCTGCATTCCTGGTGAGTGGGTCCCTTTGCAGCAACAGCACATGGCACCCAGTTTGGAAACCCTTCATCCTGATGAGAAAGCGAAGAGGTTCCAATGCACTTAGCTTATCCAAGAAGGGATGAGATGAATACCAGGAGAAAGGTTGCTGGTAGGAAAAGTCCTGTTCAGCTGTTGGAGAGGCATCTAGGGCTGGATCAGCTTTGGGTAGTCAGCGCAAGGAAGTGTTGGAAAAGCCTTCCCCAGGGCCACAACCCATAGGGGTCAGCACAAGGGAGTGACTGGTCTAAGGCAGAGACTCTGTTTACCTGCAGAGCTGCATGGACAGTCCTGGGGCAATCACTGCTGCCAGCCTAGGCCACAGAGCATTTCGGTCATTTGGAGTGGTACAAAGGGGCTCCCACACATGCTTATAAGGAGCAAAGGGCTTTTGCGGTTGACTTATCTCTGCATCTTCTGCCCTGATGTGCCAGGGGCCATTGGGGTCAGGCACAGAGCAGACAGCTGTTATCAGGCCATCAGAGCAAAAGCAACTCCATATCAACAGTAGTGTCACAATCTTGTGTAATGAGCATGCCTGGCCACAGGGGAAGAGCTTGGTGCCATGATGGCACAGTGGCATGAGGTGATGTCATGCTGGCAGCCTGTGCCTTGCATGCACGTGAAGCTAAACGCAGGAGATGGGCTAGAGCGTGTCAAGGGCTGAGAGTGCCTTTCTGAGTACTGGGGACTTTTGGGGGCATGTGGGAGGAAACGGGCTGGGGAACAAGATTTAGGGCTGGTTTTGGTCTTTGGAAAAAGCAGGCAGCCATAAAGAAACCCCTGCAAAGTGCCAGCCTGGGGTAGCTAGCGGGGCCAGGCACAGCTAAAGTTGGGGGACTGCGGAGAGTGGTACCTGCTTGGCAACACAGTGTTGGTGCAGCCAAATGAATGCATCCCAGATGGAGCTGCCTGAATTGCTCAGCAGGCTCAAAGCTAATGGTCTTGGGGGTGTTAGTGGTGGGACAAGGCTGTGTGTGCATGTGGACTGGTCTTGTCTGACATGACTGAGCCTGCAGGCCTGGCATGCAGGACCAGGATGTGCATCACGATGAGTGCTGGATGGAGAGGAGGAATAGCAATGGCATGGTGAGGAAGAGCAAGGGGAGGGGGAGTATAGTCTCCAGCCAGCAGCAAATGAGGAGGGAGTCCTTGAAATGAATGTCCTGGCAGCATGTCTTGGCCTGACAAGAATACCCCCAAGCTTGGGGCTCCCATCAGGGCTTGGTGCTTCCCTGGCCACTGGGACCTCCTCAGTAGGTGCTGCCTGAGCTGTCGCAGGTGATGGAGCTATGCCGTGTTCAAGCAGGGCTGTGGGGATGCCAGTGCCATTTGTGCTGGTGGCCTGGTGTGCAGGTCAGCACCTTGGCTGCGTGTTGGGCTTGCACCGGGCAGCAGGGAGGATCGGTCTGGATGAGCCAGACCATGGTGGTGGGGGTCCATGACTCCATGTCCCATGGAGAACCAGGGTGAGGGGGAGCCATGTAGTGAGCAGTAAGCCTGCTCTGGGACAGGGCTAAATCGTCAATGCAAGTGGGCAAGAGCATGTTTGGAGCCAAGCCCAGTTCCTGGCCACTCGTCTGCAGCATGCCAGAGCCTGATTGGTGCCACTCAGCCGTCGCCCTGGCTTGTGTCTCTGTGTCCAGGATGGCAGTGGCACCCTCCAGCGCAGCAGCTCCCTGGGGAAAATCCGGGATGTGATACGGAGGAGCAGTGAGATGTTGGTCAAGAAACTGCAGGGCAATGGTCCCCTGGAGCCCAGGAACACCAGGTAGGGACCAGGGCTGTGAAGGCCAGGCTGGGTGCAGGATAGGTGGGGGCCCTGCCACTTTGGGAGTCGGGTCTAGCCAGGCACAACAAGATCACACCTACTCTCCTCTGCTTTCTTGTAGCATGAAACGAGCTGCATCATTAAATTACCTGCACAAGTCTAGTGATGCTTCGTTTGAGGTAAGCACCGGGCAGGTGGCAGGGCTGGTGCAGAAACGGGTGCTGGGGTGGGGGATGCGTTGCCACAGCTGGCTACGGGGGCTATGGCCAGTGACACAGGTGGTGAGGGGCACAGCAGGCCGCACATGTGGTGCCCAAGATCCCACTGGAGGCATTCATCCATGCAGATGTACTCTGCTGCTTTGCGGGGGTTGAGCTACTCTGCCTTCCCAAGGGGTGGCCTGGGCCAGTGCCCCTACTGCACCCCCTGGGCAGCTGCGCAGCCCCTCTTCTGAGATCATAGCTCCAAAACTGAAGGTGTTGCCTCCAAGCAACCACCTCCTTGCCTGCTGAGCTCAGCAAACCCCCCAGCCACAGGATGGGAGCAGGGAGGGCAGAGGTGGCACCTAATGTGGCTGATAATGGCACTGGGGCAGTCCTGGCTTGCAAGGCAAGGGGTGCAGGAGGTGGGCTGGCAGCTTTGGGGCATGGGTATGGATTGCAGGTACTGGTACTCACAGGTGATGTATTTTCCAGGGCACCCAAGGCCTCCGTGCAGAGAGTAGAGGCCTCAGCGCCAGCAGCATGGACCTGTCCTCCCACAGCTCCCTGCTCTC